AGGGGTTCACCTTGGAAGCCATCCTGGTTAATGTCCCCGATGGCGGCGACGGCGATGCCGAACCCGGAGCCGGGGGCGCCCGGCAGCACCACGCTGGCCCCGTCCCGGAAGGAGCCGTTCTCGTTCATGAAGACGTACACCGAGCCGCCCTGCTCCCTCTTGTGGTGGAAGTAGAAGGGGGCCCCGACGATCAGGTCGTTCCACCTGCGCGGACACAGGGGAGCAGGAGGCATGAGGACCCGTCCCCCCCAGCTCCTCTCGGCCTGGCTCAAGCAAGCGCCAGACCTCCTTTCACCTGAGAATGGCCCCATCTGGAGGGCTCATTCATCAGCCTTCAAAGAGAAAGAGTCTACCGTAACCCCAAGTGACTGTCTACTGGGCTGTCGTGATTTTTATGACACAGTGCTGATCAACTTCGTACAATCATGCAGATCAGTCTGTTTATTATAGCTGAAGTTATAAAGAAACTATCAGTATTGATTAAATCATAGTGAATAAATCACCCTAACGCAGTTTTCTATATTTTTGGCATTTAGAGCTTTATCACAAGGTGTCCTTTAAAACTTGCTTTGATCCCTTTGCTCCCTAGTTAACTTTCAGTTACATGCTGGGACCACGTTAAACCATAAGTGATGAAGGTACCCAAGAACTTGAAGCTGCTAACCACCTCTTCAGCCACCCCATTGGTGTAAATAGGGGCGTGGTCCCCACCCTGCTTTCTAAAATCGATGACCGGCTCTTTGATCATCTTCCACACTCGGTCGTTTCCACATGTGTCTTCTAGTTTGCGTTTCACCGTTGTTTCTGATTAAATCTGCTGTGATCTTCAGAAAGGACCATCTTACACTCAGAAGCCCATATACACACTTACGTTGTTGAGATATTGGGGACATGATATAAAAGGTTCCCCGATCTTGGGTACAGGCGTTTTCAATCTAAAGAGTGTATCTTGCGTTTAGGAGAGTTGGTGGTGAGAGCAAGCAAGGACGACCTTCAGCACATGTGATCTCGGTGCCCGGAGCCAGTGAGAAGAGGCACGACTCAGATGCATCTCATCTACAGGTGCTTGGATCCATTAAAAAAAGTAAAATGCTTACAATGGTGTCATGTGAAAAACACTGGTAGGTCATGATAGAAATGAGTGACAGCTTAGTGTAAAACGCCCCCATCTCTACTCTAGTGCATTGATCCTAAGAATGTGTCTGTCATGTTGCTTTTCACAGGAGGAAACACGCAAGGAAGCAGTTCATTGTACTGGGGTACACATGACAAACCTGAAACTTGGGAAGAGCCCCCCATTCGTTTATTTCCCATAGGTTTGAACTCATAGGGTCCAAACGTCCCTTATTTTTATTGCCCTTATGTCTTCTCATCATCGCACTACAAGTCGGGACTTTTGGGGTTCCCAACCCCAGCGTACATCGGGTACCCCCTGTGCCCGTCTGCCCAGCCTACCCATCCTTGTTCAGATCAGTGGCCGCTATGCTGCTCCCGAAGTAGGAGCCCAGCTGCTCCCCCAACAGGACCACGCGGGGGGTCAGGGTGGCATCGATATCGGCCAGCATCACCGAGCCCCGGCTCTCGTTGCGCGGCGCCCCGGTGATCAGCGTGTACGAGTTCTTCCGCAGGACGTTCTGCTCTTGCAGGACGGAATACCCTGCAAAGACACAGCACGGTGGCCTTAGTGGGGAACCCCCCACCCCGGACGGGCTGCTCCTGATTCCAGAGCCACACACACCTCCCTCCCGCCAACCCGCCCCGCGCCCACCGCCGCCCCCTGCAGCAACACCAGCTGTCCCGTCTCGCCAAACCAGCTTCCTTCCTGCCGCCGCTGTCTGGGACCAGCTGTCAATCTGCTGTTACACTCCATTCCCCCTCCTCCCCTATTTGAAAACGTGGGTTTCATGAACCACTGCGGCCCCGCAGGGGGACCAAGTGGAACCAGGTGCAGGAGAAGAAACCATCTGCCGGCGTCCTGCACTGGAGAGCACAGCACCAATGGCCAAGGCCGGACATCCCTGGCGGGCGGTGTGCCCGGTGTCCCCGACAGAAATGCTGCTTCACATCTGCCCCAGCAAGAACCAAACAAGCTCCTGTAGCAAACGCTGCCTGGCACCACGATCTGGCATTGAATACTCTGACTGAAGCAGATGGACCGGATTACTGTACCGATGTAGAGGTATCGCTGGCCACGCAGGTCAGGGAAAGACTTCTCATTCGAGTCCCAGGACTCCTGGGGGTTCCTCCAGGTGTTATGGACATTTCCTGGAAACCACAAACAAACCACACAGCTGGGTGACAAAGCCATTCTGCCAAGGGCCAGGAACTGCAACAGGGACAGCCTTGTCCCCAAGGTCCCTCAAGCTGGAGACGCGCTCGGCCTTCCTCAACCGCACCAGACGCGCTTGCACCCAAAGCTTTTGTCGCGTCCGTGCCGATGCAAAATGCCCTCGGCAACCTCTCCCACCTCCCTGCGCGGAGAGGGCGCCGCCCACCTTGCCACAGGAAGCTCCCCGGAGCGCCGATGTACACGTCGGTTTCCGTCATGCCCGCGGAGATGCCCATGGTGCACATGCCCTCCAGCTCCATGTCGTGGTTGGGGTTGCACACCTCGTAGCGGGAGGTCTGCCAGTCGTCGTTGGCGTCGTACTGGAGGTCGTTCCCTCGGACGAAGCACCGCCCGATCATCCGCCTCTGCTCCATCGAGCCCGACCACGTGATCTTCACAAAGCGGTGGCCACAGGCCTGCTCACGGGGAGAGAGAGGCCGCAGTTACACAGAGGCTCCAGAAGGGGGCAGCACAGAGCAGCAACGACGCTTGCAGAAACGGAAGGCAAACAGACCAGGAGAGGGATTTTGCCAGGATTTGAGCTCTGGACTTTGGAAGCAAGTTCGGAAGGGCTAAATCCCTGGAAATCCTCACCTGCTACACGTTCCAGGGCAGCGGCTTGGAACTGGCTCAACTCTAGAAAGTTAGTTGGAACGGCCGATTAAGACCTTGTGCTGAACGACGAGCAGAGAACTCTGCAGGGCTCAGGGATGGGAGAGAGCAAGACAGAAGCCCATGTAAAAAAATGGGGGGCAGAGATCAAAGAGAGAGAGGCCAGCAGAGGAGGAGAGAAAATGAGAGCACGAGCAGGACTCAAGAAGATGGGAGTGCGACGCTCACCAGCACACGGCCCCCGTTCGGCCCTCCCTGACTGGCCACGGTCACGCCCAGCCACATCCCCTCCACCATCTCGGTGTTCTCCACTGCAATCAGAGGTCAGGATCAGAGAGCATGCTGGGCACATCCTGGACTGGCATGTCAGTTCCATACCATGGCACACCATCAATGCAAACAGAGCAAAGAGAAACCCCAGTTTGGTTGCTGGATCTTCGTGGTCTGAGGACCTCACCCAGCTGTTTCTTGAAAGAAGCCAGTGTGCATTATTGACTTGTAAAGGAACAAGTAACAGGTTTATTCCATGCTGAAAAAAAGAAGAAAGTAAACAAACGCTTCGGCCGTAGAACAGGTGATCACACCTGAAGAAGGCTCCACAGCCGAAACGTCGTGTTCTCTTTCTTCTTTTTTTCAGCATGGAATGATCCTATTACTTGTTCCTTTGCTGCCTACGCATGCTGACGCAGCTACCCCCCTGAACTTATTTACCTGTCGGTGTCTTAATGGCTGAAGCAGTGTGTTCAGCTAATGGGACTTGACTTGCGTCTGGAGAAAACCCACAAAGCTGACCTCCCTACTTCACTAACCACCACAACCCTGTGCTGCCCACTAATCCAAATGATCAGGAAAAAATGATCCAAAATGTAAGGCGGGACTGTAGAGGCACCGCTCTGAAAAACTGCAACCCGAGCTCTAGCAACGATAGCTTTAACTTGAACAGATTTTAAGTGTAAATCTGTCACTCCTCTTCCCAATCAAAAGTTTAATGGTGCTTTGCAATTATCTTATGACAGAGAGGGACCTGACCTCTGTTGCAGCTCCGACATATGAAAACTTGCAGGTGGCATACCGAGTTAACCTACGAGCCAACGTAATGAGAGGGGAGACAGACCCATTCTCGATCACTGGGCCTAATGCAGGGCCTGACACAGAAGGTCACAGACACGGGCAATGATGTACTGTGAGGAAAGGGCTTAGGTAGGCATGGAGGTGTATGTTGTGAATAAGTGTGTAACCCCAGTTTATTCAGTCCTGGCACCTACAGGCACTAATTGTCAGTATTACACACTTTTGTTCTTGCTACACAGAAGTATGCCGGTCATTCGCTTTCTAAATTGCATGTTCCTTGTGCCTACAAAGACACGGGACAGTGAAATTAAAGAGCTGAGCATCTCTACAAGGTTTGCTACTTTCTGTTAAATGGTCAGCAACCTCAGTGTGTGTCAGATGTGGTAAACATACATTGGCACAGCAGTCTGTGGGCTCTGTTCAGATAAAAACCCATCGTCACTCCTGACGTGAGGAGAACCACAACACTGCTGACAGCAGCCAACATGGTAGCCTCAGATCACATAAAAGATGTTCAATTATTTTCCACCGCTGACAGTCACTATTATCTTCACAGTGCCTGAACAAAAAAAGAATCACTTAAAAACATATTTCTTGCCAATATAAAAGAATCCAACATGCAAGACTTGGAAATCCATGGCCAGATGTATTAAACATGCACAGCTAGAAGCCCACCCAGTCCCCCCTTGAGGGAGTCCTGTAGTTTACGGCTGGGATTCTGAGCAGCTTGACCAAGGGCAATATCTAATAACACTTCTGTCACAAGCCAACATGTGGCAGTTCTGGATGGTGGACATAGCAGCACCTAAGCAGTCGTTGACAAACCCCTTTATAAAGGTTAGGAAGGCCCATATTACCCTACATCAGTAATAATTATCTAACACAGGCCCTATATGACCCCTAATAAAGGCAAAATAATACGCATCTGCCAGCACTAAGCAGTGTTTGAGCAATGTTTCTGGCCAGCGATCTGAACAGAACCACTGTCCCACTACGTGACAGTGATCTAACATACTTTGGGGTAGCCTGATTCCCCCTAACATATTAGCAGGTCTCTTTAAGAAGAGGGATGAACCAAAGCTTTTCCTGTATTCCTACGGCAAACTGAGATAAGGTGACATGCATGCAGAATCAGTTACAGGAATTTATTTTTAAAAAAACTGAATGTAATAGCATCTGATTGTTTATTAATCTGGCATCCGACGAGTAACACCCGGATGAGATGGCTGAATCAACAGAGATGAGTTTTCCAAGCCAGACAGCCTGCCTGGGCTGCAGACGGTCTAACAGTACCTGCATCGACCAGGCCCATTCTGGTACAGTCATCTGGGTCAGTGGTCACTGGACAGGAGTAGATGGCTCCTGTCTCGTTTGCCTTCACCTGGGGCAGTGCCTTCTCTTTCGGAGCTCCCGTTAAGAGTCTGAGGACAAAAACAATTGAGAGGAAAATGACATGAACCCATAAGCTTCAGCTTAAACAAACACATAGTGCCATTCCAAAAAATTAGAGAAAATTCCTAGCTGATCAGACCTTGTGAGCTGATTGCTGCACTGAATATGGGACCACTCATTCCCAAATTGTGGGCACCACTTCAACAGCTACTTAGGATGTAAACTGGCTTCCTGTTGGCGATATTTTTATTTCTTCAAATCAAAGAACGTAAACCCTTTAGGTTGTCTGAATAGACACATTAGACAGGTGTGCTATTGCCTTCAACTCTGCACCAACCTCTTGTGAGGTCACTGACATCACGGCTTTGCATCTCGCAGAATGACACACTGAGGATAAGGCCTTGCCTGCTACGTCTTTACAGTTCTCAGGAGGTGTGAGGAATGCCACAAGTTGGGTGATTCCAGATACTTGGAGATATAACTGGGTTTCCCTTACAGCACTCACTATCCCCTCATATTTACCAGGACAATATGTGCACTCATCTTCAGAAACTGTAACAAGCAATAATACTAGGGATAGCTTCTGCCTGAGCCAGACAAAACATTTTTCTTGGAACAAGATCTAACATCAGTTAAAATAACATATTGTATTTGTGTTGTACAGGACACCACACACCCCATCTGCACCTGTGCCAAAACAAGCTATTGTAACCTCAGTAAAGGACACCGATTTAATGTATCGGATTAATTCAGCACTGACATTAACCACAGACATCAAGTGGAGTATCAGTAAGGTGAACAGTACAGGTTTTAAAAATAACCACCAGCTACACTTGCAATAGTATTTAATTGTATTTGCAGCTAGCATATAATCACTGGAGCAAAGACTGCCTTTCCAGAGTGTGAACATTTTCTGGCAATTCAAATAATATTTTGCACTTGCCCTGGGTCAAAGACCTCATCAGTCACTTAACACCAGCTCTGTTGCCAGTGACTGTTTGCTTAGAGTTTATCACTATCTCAGAGACCTGCTGGAATGTATCAAAGAGCTGGCTGGCTGTGCTGTATTTTTCTCTCTCGTTTACCACTCGACTGGTGATCCAAACACTGGGTGAACAGCAGGGGGCGCTGTACTGTGCACCACGAGACCGGAGAGGGAGGAGGCGATGGCAG